TATTCCAATCTTATGAAAAGCAAGGAATTAGTTCAACATTTTGGTATTTACTACGATTTACTTTGTGGCCTAAAATATGATATTTTGGAGGAAGTTCCATGAGCAGCTGAAAAGAAAGCATATTCAGCTATTGTTGGATAAAATATTCTGTAGATATCTGTTAAGTGCACTTGACTTATAGTGTGAATAACTCTGTAGTATTTTTGTTGATTTTATGTCTGGATGACCTATCAGTGAGAGAAGTATATTGGAATCACCTAGTACAATTTTATTAGGGTCTATTTGAGCCTTTAAGTTGAGTAGTGTTTGTGTTACGTAGTTAGGTGCACTGAGATTTGGAGCATAAATATTTAATATTGTTGTTTCTTCTTGTTGGATTTTTTCCTTTACCAATATGTAGTGACCTTCTTTGTCTCTTCTAACTAATTTTGGCTTGGAGTCTGCTTTGTTGGATATGAGAGGAGCTACTCTGCTTGCTTTTGAATTCTGCTTGCATGGAATATCATTTTTCCATCTTTTTATTTTCAGCCTGTGAATGTTTTTACATATGAGTTGTTTCTTTTGGGTAGAATTTTATATATTTCTTTGTTATATACTTGGGGTCTTTTTAAAAAAAATCTAATTTGCCTCTTTTAACTGGAGAACTGGAACCATTTATATTCAGTGTTATTATAGAGAGGCATATATTACTTCCTGTCATTTTGATTTATTTCTAATGTTTGCTTCAATACTGATTCTCATTTGCTTGTCTACTCTTCTAATGAGATTTATTCTTTCCAGAGCGCTCTAAGTTGTTTTATCCTCTTCTCTGTATAGGATCCCTTTAAATATCTTCTGCAATGCTGGATTAGTAGGCATGAATTCCTTTAGTTTATGCTTATCCTGAAAGGTTTTTTATTTCTTCTTCAATGTGGAAGTAAGTATAGCTTCTCTGTATATAGCAATATCGATTGGCAGCTATTTTCTTTCAAGGCTTAAAATGTGTCATTTCAAGCACTCCTGGACTTTAGGGTTTCTGATGATTGGTTTTCCATTAAAGATGACCTGGTGTCTTTCTCTTATCTCTTAATTTTTTTCTTTGATCTGGATTTTTTTTGGCATTTTAATATATTGTGGAGGGGTTCTTTTCTGGTCTTGTCTATTTGGGGTTCTAAATGTCTCTAGCATATGGGTATACTTCCTGTTCCCAAGGTTTGAAACATTTTCTGCTATTATTTCACTGATAGGCTATCCATACCATTAGCTTGTGTCTCTGCTCCTTCTTTGATGCTATGAGACTTAAGTTTGGTGTCTTAATGTCCAAGAGTTATTTTCTATTCTGATCATAGTATCTTATTTTTTTCTTTAACTACTATCTGAATGTTCAAGTCCATCCACTTTGTTTTCAAGCTCTGAGATTCCGTCTTATACTTGGTTTAATCTCTTTTGAGAGATTTTCAGCCAAGTTTTTTTTTTCCCCCCACTATTAGGAACTGAATCCAGGGGTGATTTATCACTGAGTAACATCATCAACCCTTTTTATTTTTTATTTTGAGATAGGGTCTCACTAAGTTGTTGAGGCTGCCCTTGAACTTGTGATCTTCTTGCCTCAGCCTATCAAGTTAATTGGATTACAGGCAAGTGCCACTAAACCCAGCTTCAATAGAGTTTTTTTTTATTTGACTTTTTGTGCCTTTACCTTATAAGATTTCTGTTTTTTTTCCAGAATCTTGATCTCTTTATTAAAATGCTCTTTCATATCATATATTTTTCCCTTAGTTCATTCCTTATCTTTTTAAAATTTATTAATTATCTTAACAGCTAAATTTTTAAAAATGTTGCCCAGCATTTCATTCACTTGAATACCTATAGATAGAGTTGTTGAGGGATTATAAATTTTTGGAGCATCTTTTTGCCTTGCTTCCTCATATTTTCAGAGTGTCTATGTTTTTCTGCATCTGTTGTGATGAGTTTCTTTTCTTTTATTATGTGAGGTCTTTTAGAAAGTAGCTATCTCTTTAATATACGTCCTGCACTGGCATATCTTAGCATCAAAACATCCAGGTAGCATAATCAAAATATTAAGTTCAATCATCAGCTCTGCTTTGAGAGGAGAGAATAACTTCCAGTAACAGTGATAACTAATTAATGAAACATAATTAATTAAAATGCACAAGATTAGAAAGAACTATGGAAAAATAAATAATGAGGGAAAACACAACAAAATACTTTATGTAAAACAGCTAATGCAACAACCATCATAAAAAGATTCAGTTTTCTTTTTGCCAAGACATTTCAAATGGCAAACCCTTTTTCCTGGGCTTCGATTTTAGGATCCCCTGGCTTTGAAGAGGTTTGTGGGACACAATTATTGTATTGTTTGTCTTTTTTCAGCTCTGACCCAAAACAGGCAAACTTACTGGGGGAATCGGTATGCTGAGCTCTGCCCCTTCTTGCTTGCTTCTTGGGGGAGCTTTGTTTGTTTCAGAGCAGAATTCATCCTCAATATCACTATGCTTTTTAGATCTGGGGTGGGAGTGTTATTCTGGTGGGAGCTGCCGTCCATCTGTCTGGCCCAGATAGCTTGTTGACTGATCTAGATTACACCACATCTCTCTTTTTGAAAGCCTCAATCCATGTGCCATGGGAAGTATGTGGGAAGTGTCCAGGTCATGTCTGAAAATCCTTGAGACAGTTTGGGTATGGGGGAGGTGACAGGGCCTGCAAAAGAATTCTGTGGGCAGCAGGTTTCCACCTGACCCAGAACCCACCGGCTTCCACTCGCTGTCAACCTTGCTCCTTATCACAGTTTGAACCACCAATTTCAAAGGAAAACGCCCTTCACTTTTCTCTGCTCTGCAGACCTGCAGACTAGCAGCTGCAGCTCCTGTTGCTGCCCAGAGCTCCCCAAAAGTCCATGTGATAATCTCACTCTTGTGCCCAGATTGACTCATGACAAATCCAGTAAGAAATAAAGCATGAAAAGTTTAAACAACGAGGCTTTTTAAGCTAGCACTGCTTTCTCTCTTTTACTAAATCTGCTTGGAAGTACTTGGTCTCTCTCCCATGCTGGGACATATCACTCCTACCTTACGTTCTTACCTTCCAGACCCCTGACTTCTTTTCAGCTATGTTGTTCAGTTTATCTGATTTAACTATTCAATAATTACTTATTGAGTGCCTGCTATGTAGGACACACTGACAATATAATAGTAAGTGAAGGGTTTTTTTTTTTCCCCAGAACTCTTATCATCTAATGAAAAAGAGAAACTAAAAACAATTATTGGATTAAATATATGCTTAAAATAGTGAAATTTATAAATTATGTCCAAGTACTATGAAATAATGTGAGATATATGAAATCATGAAGAGACATATGATTCATATTGGTCAGCATCTATCAGGGTCTTAAAAAATGAAATTTTAGCTGGGAGTTTGTACATGAAGATGTTAGCTTACCAAATATCAGGGGTAAGAGCATTTGAGGGGGAGGAGGTAACAGCAGGTTCAGGGACCCCGAGGCAGGGAAGCTACTAGTGTATCATCATGTAAAATGATCATTGCAAAGAAAAAAAATCCACTGTAGTGCAGCGTGAATGAACCAGGAAGAAAGTGTCCACAAATGGGGCTGAGAATTGGGCAGGCAGGTACCAGGCAGCATTGTAGGCCATGCCAGAACTTCAGATTTGTCCTCATGAGCATGGGAGGCCATTGCAGGCTTCTAGCAGAAAAAAGCCATCTGCCATGTGGAAAGCAAATTGGAGGGAGGCAGGAGTGAAAACAAAGAAACCAGTCAGGAGGGCTTTTGGAGTGGTCCAGGTGAGAGATGACAGCTCCGACTAGAGTGACGACGGTGGAGATGACAATAAATGGCATGTTTGAGACATGCTTTACAGAAGGAAATGATATGGCTTGTTGATGGATGCGGAAAGTGAGTCATGAAAGGCATGAACGATCCCTGCCAGTCTTTAGGATGAGTAACTTGATGTAAAGTTACCATTACCAAAATGTGAAACGCAGGAGGAAAAACAGGTTTGGGAGGGAGGATGGAGGATTCAGGTTTTGAGGAGTGAAATTTGAGATGTCTGTAGGATATTCAAATAGAGACATCAAAATATGAGGGTGAGTATATGTTCTGAAGTTCAAAAGAATAGTCTGTATTCAAGCAGAAATTTGAGAGTTCCTGCACACAGAGACTACTTAGAACCATTATTATAGTCTTCATTTTTTTTTTTTAACATAGGGCCAACCTTGTACTTTTTAATTTGACTTCTCTCTCTCTCTCTCTTTTTTTTTTTAATATTTGGGGCTGTTACTTTGGTTACACCTTTCAATATTCTATTTCGGTCATCCCAATTCCACCTTATTTTGTAGGTTTCTAATTACACTGTAATGACAGAGTATTTCAATAGAAAGAAACAGATTTTTGACTTTTTGTGTGCCTTGGGCAAATCACTTAGTTCTCTGAGTATTAATTTCCCAATAGTAAAGAAGGGAATTGGTTGTATTTAGTTTTAAAAATCAATGATTCTGTAATACAAGAATTATTGGCTAAGTTATGTCTAGATTTTAAATCCATAAGGGATGACTAGATAATTATCATTTGGAAGTTAACAAAGGCTTAGATTAGCTATTGCAGGATATTCTGAAGTTCACATAACGACCAGCAACAAATGGTTAAATTAAACACTACTGACGTAATTCCCAGAGTCTATTGCTGTAATTTAGAGCAGTATTTCTTCTGCACTTGTGAATACAGATTATAGGATAAACTAGAAAATTTGACATTTACTCATAAAAATAGCATCACCTTGAAATCTAAGACAAGCATGTTTCACTGAAAATTCTTATAGGTATGGTCACTCTTTAAGCAAAGTTAGGAATAATCCAAATATCATGGAGAGTCCTAGTAAATTAAATAGCTTGAATTATTGACCACAAGGCATAGGTAACAGCGTTTCCTTATATTATTCAAATTAAAGCTAGGCGAAGTGTCAACATTATCAGCAGTTTTTCCATACCTCAGTGACAGCGAAAGTTCTCTTGCCACAGGGAACCATCTTGTACCACTTGTCATGTAGCACGTCCATAAACCCATGTGACTTATATTGGCTGATTAGCTCAGATATATTGGAGGTCAGTGGAGAGTTGGGTGGGAGACCAATGCCATATCCTAGGAGAAAATAATCTCACATGAGTTTTTCACATTGTTCTTGAGAGGTTGCCACCATAACTGTATAGATATTGCTATCAGATCTGACAATAAAGGAATGGTGGGTTTGCATGATCTTTCCTCCAAAGAACCCTAAGACATTCTTAATTATGATTACTTTTAGAACAGCCAAATCTCTGAGTAGATGAGTTTGAAAAGGATAGGGATGGGCTGTGCACAGTTTTCTAGGGGAACACTTCAAAATAGTCCTTAGATGCAATCTTTGAAGTCATTACCAAGGCTAGGATTCCCTATTCACCTCTCCAGAATCCAGCCTCTAGATTTTAAGTAACAAAATTGGATTCATCATAATCTTTGGTTTATGACATTATCCTATTATTGTTAACACATGACCATTTTTTACTTTTATGATTCATTTTATTCTGTTTGTGGATAATAATAATAAGATCATGTGGACATTTAATATAGTATGTAAAGTAAAATATCAAACAAGAAATTATAATGACTTCAATTATTAAAAAGTCTGGTAACACCAAGTGTTGGAGAAGACGTGGACCATTCAGATCACTTATACACTGCTTGTTGAAACACAAAGTGGTATGATAATTTTGAAGAACAGTTAGTTATTATTCTTTTGTGGTTGATCATTTATATACTTCAAGATCAGCAATTCTGCTCCTACGTATACTTTCAAAAACCTCTACAAGCATACCAGATGTGATCAAGAATGTTGTTAGAAGCACTATTTATAATAGCAAAAATTGAAACCAACACAAATGTCCAAATGTTCTTTGGCAAGAGAATAATTAAATAAATATTATAACAAACTGATTTGAATATTTTTATACAATGTAAAATATTTGAACTAGAACTAGACACAATGATATGGATGCCTCAGCACTATGTTGTTAGGTGAAATGTGACAATCCCAAAAGATTACTTGAGTATGAATGCAAGGTATAGATGTAAAAACACTCAAAACAAGACAGTGTATTATTAGGAGTACATATGTATGTGATGAAGTTTTATTTATGTATTTATTAATTTATGGTACCTGGGATTGAACTTAGGGGCACTTAACCACTGACCCACACCCTGCCCTATTTTGTATTTTATTTAGAGACAGGGTCTCACTGAGTTGCTTAGGGCCTTGCTAAGTTGTTGAGGCTGGTTTTGAACTAGCAATCCTCCTGCCTTAGCCTCCGGAGCTACTGGGATTACAGGCATGTGCCACCTTGTCTGGCTGAAATCATATTTTGAAAAAAAATAAGAATATGATAAATTAAAGATCCAAGGTTGAAATTACGTAAGGCACAGGAGCATAGGAGAAAGGGGAAGGGATGGAGAGAGAGAGAGAGAGAGAGAGAGAGAGAGAGAGAGAGAGAGCACCAAGATGGATATGGTTTTATTAATCATCTTAGCCTCTATATTCTCATTCCATGTAGCTTTACTTCCTTTCCAAACTGTTCCTACACTGTTAATATCTTTGATGAGCCACGTGAAAGAGACTAATTAACTACATCTTTTTTTTTTTTTTTTAGCTGTTAGATAGCATGGTCAAAAAAAAAAGATTATTTTTGCCCTCAAGATAATTGAGGAAGATAAATTAAAAATGCAGTTAGTTCCTTTTTCACAGATAAAGACTAAAAGCCTGTCAAGAATCCAAAGATACTTAATGGAAACAAATATTTGCTATAATTATTCTATCTTAAAACTCAATGCCAAAAATATTAGCTTTTGTTCCTGTTTCAATGCAGGCATTCATTTTTTAAGAACATGAGGCTTGAGATGTGTGTATAACCAATGAAAGAGTTGAAATAAATAATGCCAAACAATTTTTGAGTGTTAAAAAATTGCACATTTTTTCCCATGATAATTTTGTTTGTTCCTTAACAATAGGGAGTCAAGGAAATGATGACAATGTCAAAAACATGATTAGAATTTTCCATTCAAAGAGCTATTTTGAGTGCCTGTCTTGTGCCTATTAGTTTGGTTTGAAAGGAAAGACTGATGATAAAAGACTTTGGATGGGCAGCATTTTCTTCTGCTGATGTTATCATTAAATAACATTTTAAAAAATATAATGGGCAACTTTTTATAAGGAAGTTACCAGTTTTCTTTAGGAATCTCAGTTGCCCACACATGTATTCAGTACTTGTTTTCATGTCAGTTACAACATTAGATACATGGGCAATAAGATTCAACAATTGACTGACACACATTCGTCCATTCATCAAATATCTTATTGAGTAAATAGGCTATGATAAGTGTTCAGGATTTAGCAGAGAGAAAAGCAGACATGGTCTCTGTTGTTACAGACTGTCTTTGGGGAGACATTAAACAGTGCATCACATAGTGATTATTTTATTTCAATTGAGAAAGATGCCATTAAGGAGAAGAACTGGGGCATGTAAGAGCTATCTAATGGGAGTGGGTTGGTGGTCAGGATAATTAGTTTGGGTCAAATTTGATGAATATTATTGTGTTTTCCCTTTAAAGCAATAGGTTTCAGCAACAACAATTTCTCATATTTACTGAGGGCTCACTATATCCCAAGTAAAATTCTTGGACAAACGTTTTGCGTTCTCTACCCTATTTTGTGAATCATGTACTGGCCCAAGATTGTGTGCTAGATTGTGGCACTGTGTTCAGTTAAATCACTCTGGTATCTAAATAGTAAAAATTAGGACATTCTGAGCCTTTCTTTGTGCCAGACATTTCCCCAATGTATCCCTATGTGCACCCATGCCACAGTACATACTACTTAGAGATTCAAAGATTGAATAAGTGACTGATAACATCACACAGCTAGTTTAGCTGGCAAAGTCAGTATTTGCAAAGAGATCTGTTTTATTCTAAAATCAGTGCTCTTTCTACCATGTCCATCTCAACAAGTCGAGTCAGGGAAATACTTGACCTATTTCTTCCCTTTCAGTACTTCCTATCACTGTAGCCACATTGATGCACTAACCCCCAAATAAGGTAATTCATTTAAAAACCACAACCCTCAAAACTGGTGATTTGTTCTGAGCAAACACAAATATTTATTGTTCACAGGTAGATTTTATTTATAAACTTTTCAGCAAGTGGTGTCAATGTAGTAAGTTTGCATATGATTATATATGCTAGGAAATTCCCTAAGCAAGGAAGCTTACTAATTAAAATGTTTCTCCTAACAATCCTCTTAAAGCTAATAATTCCAAACTGCATTGGAGTTATAATGGTAGAATAGTTTTCATTTGATAGGCATTTATTGCATACCTCAGGTTCAGAAGGAGAGATTGCTACCAAGTGAAAGAAAGAGAGAGGCATGTTAGACTGATTCTCGATAGTGACATTTTTGACGTAAGGCAAAAATACATAGGGAAGGGCTGGGGATGTGGCTCAAGTGTGCTTGCCTGGCATGCATGAGGCACTGGGTTCTATCCCAGCACCACATAAAAATAAAATAAAGATATTGTGTTCACCTAAAAATAAAAAATAAATATTAAAAAAATACATAGGGAAGTTAAAAAAATTTGAAATTAATACAATAAATCTACATAATCTAAGAACAGAATCTTGATACTACAAGAAAAATGTTAAAATACTCTTAAGAAAAAAGCAATATTAAAGTTGCAAGACAGTTATAAAAAATTTCTATGCAGGAAATAATAAATATTAAATCACTCCATTCCATCATGCTTAGTTTAATTTGCAATCGGCTGATAAAAATAGATTGTTATCCTTTTTAAAATTTTCTATTTTAATACATATATTGGATATTGACACTTTAATAGCTCTATTGCTAATTATTATTAGCTAATTAAAATGAATTTTGATATGGAATGAGGAAAGAAATAGGAAAAAAATTATGTGGCAATGAGAAGCGGTCTTTGTTAAGAGATATAAAAATCCATTTTGTTCAGAAACATAAAAAAGTAAAATCGTGAAGGTTCCATTTCCATACTTCTGTTTTCTCAGTTGCTTCTCAAATTTGATTGTGTTCTTTGGTCAAAGAATTGTTATTTTTAAAATGCTGAGTCAGCCTTAGTTGCTTTCATTATCATTAGAAACGTGGCTTTGAAATAAAGACAGGGTTGACTATTTTGTGGTTGATGGATGAAGCAAAATGAAATCCTTCAACCCTAAAGATGAAGGCGTCAGGCACCCTGGAAATTGGATACAGCTTAATAGCCCCAGAGAACAATTTTCAGAATAGAATCCTGATCTTTTCCTCATGGATAAATCAGCTTTACTGAGCTAAGAGCAGAGGGAATATATTTTGACTAGCAAATGTGTAGTTAGAAATTCATAGACTAAAAGAATCTTCCTGAAAGGTGGTTGGAAAAGAGATATTTTGAAAATAAGACCTTAGATAGGGTTAAAGAGACTTCGGGAAGGAAGAGTCATTCAGTTTTGTACTCTGTCCTTGTAATACCAATTTTAACTACTTTGGGACAATGGTTGAGAATATATTGTGAAAGTCCCAATTGCAAAGGGAACTTTATAAATGGATTTCCCTTACCCTCCCTTACCCTTAGCACATCAAACTGGGGAGAGAAGAGTCTGGGAAAAGCTGAGATCAATGAAGACTATCCTGGGAAATTTTGTAGTGTACTGGTTTCAATTTATCAATTTGACATATTGGGTAATAATTTATTGATGACTTCCTATGTACCAGGCATGATTCTACATGTATTCTGTTTATTGTGTTACTTAATACTTAAACATCACTGTTATAGGTGTATTATTCACATCCTCATTATGCAGGTGAGGAACCAGGAGAAATGATTAAGAAATTTGTCAGTTATTGAGAGCTTCGAATCCAAGCTCCCAGACCCCAGAACCAGTCAGTGCTCCAAGCACAGTATTAAATAATTATTGGCAAAGCAAGAAAAAGAACAAGCTGAAAAACAGGCAAGTCTTTGGCAGAAAGGTCACAGATCATTATTTTGCAGTTACATTGGTCTTTTTCCTTGTTTGACCTTTATTGTCCTGATTCATGAATTTGGGACATGTATTCATTTATCTCAAATCTCTCTTTTTTCCCCCCAAGAACACAATATGTCTTTATGTCCCTAGCATTTAAGTAGCATTTTGACCAAAGACTTTCCACATGCTCTTGAATAGAACCAAATTGTAGGTTGGATTTGTTCCGTTGTGTACTATTTAGTAGCAAAGAATACCCATCATGAAGGGTTTTAAGCTCAACATGGAGCTACTGTCTCTCACTGGCCTTACTTTTCCCTTTTGAAACTAACTATGCACAGAAGGGTGAATTTGTAGCTATTTTAGTCTGCTTGAGTTACTAGAGCAAAATACCAAAGTCTTGGTAGCTTATAAATAACAGACATTTATTTCTCACAGTTTTGAATACTGGAAAGTCCAGGATCAAGGTGGCAGCAGATTCAATGTCTGGTGAGGACCAGCTTTACAGCTCATAGATGACTTCTAGTCGTGTTCTCACATGATAGATGAGTGAATGAGCTCCCTCCCAGTGGCCCATTTGATAAGAACACTAACCCTATTTTATAAGAGCAGAGCTTTTATGATCTAATGATCTCCCCCAAGAGCTGCATCTTCTAGTTGGGAATTATGTTTTGACACATGAATTTTGGAAAATATGCAAAAATTCAGACAATAGCAGTGTATCAATACTATATAGAGTGAATATAGAAGTCAGTAGACTCTATTTTCCCTCTTCAGTTACTGAAAATATTTAAGCACTTGGAAAACTATGTGCAAACCATCAGGATGCTTTGATTAACAATATTTGTAAGGAAATTAGGTACTTATTTTGAATTTAAACTAATCAACTATATAATTGGTAATACATCAATTATTATATGATTGCTGTATGACCAGGATTGCAGTAGGCTCTGTGGAGGGATACAGATGGGCATCTGCAACATTTCTGAGTTTACTGGGGAAGCATTCATCATAAACTGCTACGATGATGTTTTTATATTTACGCAATCTAATTAATAACAAAGCCTACATTTGAATAAGTTCAAAAAACCTAAATGTTGTTAAAGAAAAGCACCTAATATTCTCAAAAATTTCATTAAAAAAAAATAAGAGAGGGCTGGGGTTGTGGCTCAGAGGTAGAGCCCTTGCCTGGCACGTGTAAAGCACAAGGTTCAATTCCCAGCACCACATAAAGATGAGTAAATAAAATAAAGGTCTTGTGTGCATCTACAACTAGAAAGAAATATTAAAAATATATATATAAGAGAAAATTTCATTGGGAGATATTTTTCCCCAAATTCTTGAGTTAAACATTTAAAAAAAAAAACCCAGCAACCAAGACTTAGCTTTTTGTTGTTGTTGTTGTTATTGTTGCATATCACTTATAAGAATCCTCCCTTTGAGTTTTTCCAGGGTCTGTTTTTAGGTTGTGAAGTTATTGGCAGGGGCAATATTGAATTAAGTGTTCTGATTTGTATTTCATCCATTATAAGTATGCATCAATAATGATGACGATGCTCTCTCTTTTGGAATCTGCCATCCTTCTGCTGTCTTACAGGGAGAGCTCTTCCTTGTGCCACTTTGTTTATTCTCTTTGAGAACAATGTGGTGTCTAGAGATGATAGGAACTGCAAGACACCAAGTCTCATGAGCACAGATGGAAATGGAAACAGGAAAACAGTGGGGAGTTAATTGTGTGGCATCTGGCACTGTGGGTCCAGAAGAGGCAAACAAACCATCGTCTTCTGCCTTTTGACAAGATCAGGTGGCCCCCCCAAAGACAAAGGTGGAAAATGAAACCCCTCATTTTTATGCCCATAAATTATTTATTATTAGTAGCACTATGGTAGGAAGGACTTCCATTACCCCACACATTTAGGATGTAAATAAAATGTAGTATCCTTTCCATATCCCTTACTGCCACACACACACAAAAAAAGGAAATTTTCCATTGTTTCATTAAAATGGGGTTTACTGAGCATATACTGAATGTTCTTTTGGTTTTCTTGTGTTTGCTCTTTCTCTCTCTTTCTCTTTGTGGTTTTGCTATCCAAGACTGCAGTCTTAATAAAAGACCAATTCCACTCTCTTCCTGAAGTCCATCCCTGACCCAGGTGGGGGTCATTTTGTCTAGACTGAAGACTGGTTTCTCCTTGGACAGGTCTAAAGAAATAGCATCAGCTGTTATATTCTTATTCATCACAAAAAACAGACTGAAGCAAAAATATCTGCTGATGCGTTTAGGAGAGACAGAGACCAAGTATGATTGGGAAATTGGGAAATTGGAATCAAATAGTCTTGATACCCCAGTTAACATACAGCAAAGCACAGATTTCTGGAAATAGGACTTGTGCACCCCCTTGGGATTGTTTCAAGCCAAAGTGTTTTCTGACAAGTGAGCATGGCTGTCTTGAGAGCTAGCACGCACTGTCAAGGAGGGAAACCTGGGAATTGGGAGATGTGAAATTTGCTGGTTCAAACTATCAGCTCCATATATCAACTGTCACTCAGAATGAAAGAAGCTACTGACAAAGCAGTCCTTCTTTGGTTCTGAAGTTTGATTGATTGGTTGATCTAGTTGGAAGCAAAAATTGCTGCCAGTGGGGAGAAAGGCAAACCCAGGGTCCCAAACAAGGTTTTTGTTTAGTACCCTAAAGGGTGGTAAACTTTAAAATGAGATTTTTTTCCCCCTACTTACCTTCCAACTAGTGAAAAACACTTATATTAGAAACTGAGATTTGGATTTTAATCCCACTATTATCATCTAATTATATAATTATAAAAATATGATACAATATTCTTGGATTTTCTTATGACTAAAATAGATAGATTAGATTAGATCAATGTTGGGGCTCTGTTGTAAAATATAATCATTCTCTCTTTCTTTTTATTTTATTTTTTTATTTTTGGTATTGGGGATTTAACCCAGGGGCACTTTACTACTGAGCTATATCCCCAGGCCCTCCCCAAATTTTTATTTTGAGACTTATTAGATTACTTAGGGCTTTGATAAGTAGCTGAGGCTAGCCTCAAACTTGCAATTCTCCTGTCTCAGCCTCCCAAGCCACTGGGATTTCAGGCATGACCACCACACCCAGCTTAGTCTCATTTTTGTATCAGATTTATTACAGTGTTTGGCCATTCAAAAATAAAGATGAGGGGCTAACAGTGTAACTCAGTGGTAGAATGCTTGCCTACTCTGTGCAAGGCCCTGGGTTCCATATCAAGCACCAAAAAACAACAATACTAACAACAATAAAATAGGGAAAAGCAAAATTCAAACAAATAAAAAAGATCAAATTAAAACTGGACTCCCTCATTGCCACCACTCCCAGATATCTGAACCAACACATTTGAGAAACAATTATTTTTCACTAACAATTGCATAAATAAATATTTGTTGAGTTGGAGAAAAATAATTTCTAACTTCAGCAACTTAATAGCTAAGTGCTTATGAATTGAAAATGAAAACAAGGGAAGATGAATAGCTCCTTGCCTCCGACTTTGGCATTTGTGACTTGCTAGGTTAGCAAACTGAGCACATCCTGAGTAAAAGCAAATCAAGAATGACTGATTAATACCTTCTATGGCAAACGGCTTCCCCACGGTTAGAAGTTTACAGTCAGCATCTATTGACACTTCATAATCCAGAAGGGCTTTGTCCATGATGAAGGCGTCTAGTTTCTCTGGATCATTCCTATATTTAAGACCAAGAGAGAAAAAGTGAACATGATTCATTAATGGGCAGGAAGCATTAAGCCTGACAGTTGGCTTCTGTTTAGGGGACAGACACCTGAACACTAAGGGCAGCACAAGCTTGCTTGCTGCTGACAGATTTGTTGACATCTCACTGACCTGGAGAGTACAGATCAGGAGAAACAGATATTCTTACAAGAAAACATGATAAACCTCTGTGTTTATCTACCAGTCTCTTTCATGACTTCTCAACCCAACAACAAAGGCAGCGTGACTGAATTGAAAAGGAAGGTGTATAGGGAAGGTTACTTCCTTGTAGGTTATCAGAGAAACTCGTGTTAGGTATTGTATTCATTGTCTTTCATACAGTTTATCACTCATAAAGGCTGTGACATAATCAATGAGGAAATTGAGACTCAGAGAGTCAAAGGAACTTGATCCAGGGACATAGCTGGTAGAGTTGCAGCCAGTTGGTTTCCTTAATCACAAGTTGAAAGTTTAATCTTTTTTTCCCATGAAGATCAATATTATATTATTCAGAGATCAAGTATTATTTCATATTTATGAGTAGTTATTAAGGAAATATTTAGAAGAGATCTAGTATTCTTGAGAAAAGGAAGTTATAGTCTAAGTCCATGGGCTAGCATTCAATAAATGGAAGGGGAAGATGATGTAATAGATCTTAGTGGTCCAATTTATTAAGATATGTATAGAAATTCATGTTACATACCAGTAGGTGGTTCTGGCAATGATAATTTACAGTAGTTGTCCCTGGGCTGTATTAGTGAATTGGCAATGGACTCAAATTGCTATCAGAAGTCTTGGGGCACTTGGGCATCCTTTATGAAAGTCGTCTTCTTCTTTTTTTTTTTTTTCATACTGGGGATTGAACTCAGGGAGCTTAATCACTGAGCTACATCTCCAGTAACCTTTTTATTTTGAGATAGGGTCTGGCTAAATAGCTTATGGCCTTGCTCAATTGTTGAGGCTGGCTCTGAAATTGTGATTCTCCTGCCTCAGCCTCCTGAGTCACTAGGATTAAGATGCATGCCCGGCTAGTCTTCCTGTTTTTCTGAACATTAATGCAGAAGAGGTTCATGGGAAGGTTATGTCTCAGCATAGGCCAAGTTCCAACCTACAAAAAGGGCAAGGGCGGAGAAGTTTGAAAGCAAGCTGTTTAGGTCACTTTTTTTTTTTTTAATCTTCAGCCAGTAGGACATACATATATTAAAGAAAGGCTATTCTATACTTAGGGTTATCTAAACAGCTTTGCAAAGAAAACAACTCTTCTCTATTCCATTTGGCCTCAGTGTGGTATCTTAGAACAAGGAATAAGGCTGTTCAAATTCAACGCAGAGAAATAGTTTCTAAACTCAGAGAAGAACAAGGCTAGGGCTCATCAAAAATTTAAAAGAGAAAGACGTCCCTAGACAGGTATAGAGTTCATCACTTGGCAGGAAACATATCTTTACGTGGATGGATCTGTTTGGATCACACATGGACACATAGTAAGTAGTTTAACTTTTCTTTTTGGTGCCAATTACCATTGCTTACTTTTCATTCTCTTCCAGTAAGTGAAATAAAAAATTTTTAAAAAGTATCCTCTTTTCCAGAGGTACTGAATTTAAGTTATAACAAAGTTCATGTTTGGCTTTAACCAACATGAAATCACCTCTCAGTTCCATCCATATATTTATACAACTATTCTTAATTTTGGAATGAAAAAGTGCAGTTGGTTATATCAGATTTCTATTGCGTAGGAACTGGAAGCAATCATCTCACACAGACTCCCCTGGGACCATGAGTCACTGGTGAAGAAGTGGCCAAGTGTGATTCAGGTATTATAGCTTCTGGACTGAGTCACTATTGTAGTTGATAGGGCCTCCAGTTGATTCTCTCATTATGGAATCATGCTCTTTTTTTTTGAGCATTTATTTAAAAATACATATTACATGCTACAAAGTCATATATTAATATACTGAAAGAAGTGTACATTTTAATAGGATTAATTTATTATTAAATTGTTACTTTAGGGAGCAGGGCCCTGAGAGAGTTGGTATAAGGTTGGGAGAATTTTGATGGGAGAGACAAAGGACACAGGTGACTTTCAAGTACAATGACTTTGGGTGTTGTTCCCTGTAAGTAAGAGCTTTGGGATGCTAGAAGGGCGGGATAACATGAAGACTGCAATTGCTTTGAGTAATGTCTAAGAGTACCAGTAGTGACTAGGTCAAAAGTAGAGAAAGAAGGATGAGAGAGCAGTGAAGTGGTAGTAATGATAAGCTCTGCCTGTATTTCTCTTCCACATCAATCAGTGACTCATCTGGGGAACTTGTTGCAATGCAGATTTGGATGCAGTTGGTTTGGGATGGAGCCTGGCATCTTGCATGTCTAACTAGTTCCCAGATACTAACTGGAACACAGATGTTTCTGTAACATGGATTATTCTTTGATCATCAAGGACCTTTCATTATGATTTCCAAACCAGCTTGAAGTAGCGATTGGATTACAAAGAACTGGCTCTAGTCCTGATTCTGCCACTTGTTAGCTGCATTGCCATGGAAAGCTTACTTATTTCAGGCCTTCTTCATCTGTGACTACTTTTCTAATGATTGCTTCTCTCCAGGCTAAGGTAGGGCCAATGCTGGGTATGGGAACCTTCTCACGTAAAGTCACTGGAATAAATGAATGCATGGGGTGAAGAGGAAATGCTGGGAACCCCAGCAGTGGTTCATCTCATGCTTGTCACACTGCCAGCAGAACTCAGTTTGTCAGCCATTATCTAGCTGGGAGCCCAATGCTATTTCCCTGACATCTCATTCTCTCTCTCCACTATGTATTTGCCTGAAGGAAGGAATACATACAGAAGAGGATCTGGGAGGCAATGGAGCTCTAAACTCTGTGCCAGAGAGGGACTCTAATGTTCTGATGTTTTTGCAAAATTAAAAGTGCCATTTCATAGTACTTAAGCATCATATATACTTTGCAAATCTAAGAATGTGTGGCTTCCTCTCCAAGCTCTCATTAAAAGTCCATAAAATTGTTTAAGGGGCCTATTACTAGAACTCTTAAGAAACACAAAACCCTTATGTTCCATAAAATCTTTTATTTCCTCTCTTTTAAGAACTTGAGGTGGCAGGCCCTGTTGTCCATTGGGGAGATTATTGTAGCTGACCATAGAGAAACCAGCTTCCCAATGCTGCACAATTATAAGGATTGGAGGGCTGGATGCCTGTTATTGCCCTAATGCCAAGTGGGAGGGAGAGAACTGCTCACCCTCAGGCAGTGGTGCTTATTGGGATCCATGCATTCACTTTCCTAGGCAGACTCGACAAGCAGACCCATAACTTCATGGTTCTCCTCTGCATTCAGTTCACTGAATCACAGGCTCTGATGATCTGCCATGGCAATGTGATTGCCTTTGATTGCTTTTCATAAATTCTGAAGAGAAGGATGCAGACATGGGAAGCACTGCCTTCTATCTTTTCTCTTTTCTACAGGAAATCCCTAAGATGAATTCCATTTCCTCATGGCAAGAGTAGGCATTCCATGGGCTTAGAGATTCACTGTGAAGGAAAGGATTGCTTTGGGACACTTTATCCCCTGGCCATATTCCCTGTGTGTTTGATCATTTCAGCACCATTGTTTTCTCAAGTGATGCCAAGCCAGCTTTTATTTCCCCCACCATCTGCTACACTAATGACTCCACTGGCTCTTGGAGCAAAGCTACTGCCAACTTGAGACTAGGCAGGTAACTAGTAATAGAGGCCACATAATTAAATGCACATATTCCATACTGCCATACTACCTTCTGGGTCCCACACAGTGTGATACTACTGAACACAGTGGAAATACTTGTCATTAAAAAAACAACAACAAGAATAAATTGCACCAGTAGCAAAATGACATCTCTTTCAGTGAGAACTTTTAGGATCTAAGAGGTTGACACTCACTTGAGGTACTGCACTCCATCAGGGGTGGCTGGAACATTGTACCTCCTCATATACTCATGCATCTCTGGGAAGCTTTGCCTCACATAATCTTCAGCACTGCTCTCCCGGACAGTTCCAAACCGGAAGCCTTGGGACGGATGGTGCAGCTGAAGGAGAAAAGAAATGGTTTTAATATAAGTTACTATTAGAATTGTTTCCAAATTTTTCCTTTTTCATTATTATTTGGAACCCAGGGACAATTTTTAGGACTTTTAAAACACACAGAGGCACAAACATATAACAAAGATGTGCAGATACAGGTACATCCTCTTCCATATCCCAGTTTTCACATCAGAAATTGTTCTATCTTCAGAAGCAAACAGATGGGAACAAGAAATCCAAAGGACACAACATTTTTTTTCTTTATATTGACAACCTATGATAATGATTAAAAACTGTACAACTTGGCATGTAGAATCAGCTTTATATTCTAAATTGTATTTTGAAATATGTAATTAAGATAATAAATCGAAGATTATGATCCCCTTAGTTAGACCAACACAGAGGCCTAATTAAAAACCTTGCATCCTCAGATTAAAATATACCTGACTCAACATTGTGAACTTATCCCTCTCTTTTTTATTTTTATTTAAGTTTTAATTTTAATTTAATTTTTTTAATTTATATATAATAGTGGAATGCACTATAATTCTTATTACTTTCTTAAGTATCAGTTATATTACATGTTAAGTGTGTTGATTTTATTTTTGGTATTATTATGAAATGCTCTTGTTCCTTTATGAAATTGTATTATCCAATGCTGAGTCATGCTGTATATTTCCTTGGAAGGAATAGTGTGTAAGAAAGTTGAGATCAGTGGAGGTGAGGGGTAGCAGGAGTAGACTCAGTAATGTCATAGTTCTCCAGGAAGCAAGACTGCATGGTGAGGATGGGCAGTGCACTGGGAGTCCTGCTGAGACCTTTTCGTCACTAAGGATAGAAAAGATACATCACATGAAAAGTTACTCAGTGAAATCTGGGAGAAGCCTTAATATGGGATCTAAAACTTGGACAATTTCAAATTTAAGAACAAACTGAAATTGGGCCATATTATGAAAGTGATGAAATATCCTGAAGTTTTTTTTAAGTTGTTGATGGACCTTTTATTTTATTTATTTATATGTTGTGCTGAGAATTGAACCCAGTGCCTCACATATGTTAGGCAAGCACTCTACCACTAAGCCACAATCCCAGCCCAATAACCTGAAGTTTTAGGGCTACACTTCTCCACCAATGTTACAGTAAAGTTTTTGAACTTTTTTATTCTGTTTCATATTGATGTATTTTATAACACTGGTTCTGACTATAAGTTGTGGGGACCATGGGTCCATAAATGGGCTTCATGAACTTCAAAAATCTGAAATTTTAGGCAATAGTTTATGTAAATACATATTTGTAATTGTTTTCCTATGGAAGGAGAAAATACAGCACTCTTTAAAAATTAATTAGGCTTTCAAGTTGTTTACAACTCTCAATGAAAAAGATAGAGAACTCACTGGATATGGTAACAAATACCTTATAATCAAAGTTGAAGTAATTCTGACACACACTAAAGGCAATATGACCATAATTAAATAAACTATATACCATGTCCTTATAAGATGTCATGAAATCTATAAAACAAGTTTGTAAAATATGCTTATAAAATTTGGCAGCTGCTCATATGAAAAAAATGGAAAAAGTTTTTATATCATGACCAAAATTAAATATGTGCATATTTATTTAAATACCATAATTCCCATAAGTATCACATATGAAAACAGGCACACACACACACATCCCTTGGAAGAAAATATATAAAGATATTAGCAATAGCTGTATGACTGGTGATGAAATAATAATGTTTATTTTTAAGTTATGGGTTGTCTTCAGAAACATATATAATGTTTATAAGTAGAAAAAACTTCCTGCAGTCACTGCCATATAGGAACGGATCCCCTGGTTATTCATGATATTTCTTTGGATACCCCACTGTGGAGTAGGTAATATGGTATTAGGCCCTTTGTTTAATGTAATTACTTCATACAAATTCTAACATTTTATGTCAGTGCAACCTTAATGAGGCATAAACAATAACAACAGTTAACATTTACTGAGTACTTATCATGTGCCAAACATGGTACTCAGCACTTCATGTGCATTATCTTGTTTAATCCTCATGATGGCTTCACAGGAGGACACTATTACCACTTTCTTTTGAAGAGCAGTATACCGCAACTCAGAGAAATGAAGTAATTGGTGTAAGATCATGCAGCTGGAAGTAGTAGGGATTGGATCAGAACCAGAATCTGTCTGATTTCAAAGCTCTGGTTGTTATCCACCCCATCATCCTGTCTTCCAATTCACAGCAGTAACTGGAGTGACGGTGATTATTAGAGGGAACTCATCAGCCTTTTCTTAATATTCTCCTTGAGACTTCAACCCCCTGGCAATTCTCACAATAGCAAATTGCTGTCCTATGGATGGAGAAAAGCAAATTCATCAGCATTTTCTCTGTACAACACCTATTCATTTTTTTTTAAGGCCTACATCAAGATCTTCTGTGCGAAGTCTTTGGTCTTATATAGTTTCACCCTACTACCCAAAGTGATAACAATAAAAGTGATTAATTGCTTATTTATCTATACCAATACAGCAAACTACGTACTTACAAACTATGTACTCTAGCTGTTTATTTAAGCAAACCTTTACATTTCCATGAATCATTTCTTCTGATCCACTTGAGAAACCTGTGACCTAGGTATTTTCACTATATTCCTCTCACAGATGAAGAAACTGAACAATAGAAAGTTTGACATTTGTCCAAGGTCACAGAGATAGTAAAAGCAGCACCTGGGATTTGAACCCGGACAGTCTGATGGAAGAATTCGGCTTTGACCCCTGTAAAACACTGCTTCTGACATATGTCATACTCACTCCCTGGGTCTGATCTTTGCACAATCTGCTAGTTATGTGCCAGAGTTAAGGGTTTCAAACCTTTATAATCCTCACAATAATCATGGAATAGATGTTATTTTCTTATTTTACAGATTAAGACACTTAGGTTTGGGTAGCTAATGACCACATTTTCATAGAGATGAACAAGTCTTCATATTATACATAAAGATGTAGTTGTACATACATAAGTGTAGTTGTGTTAACATTTCATTAATGCCTAGATTCTTAACTTCTTCACTGGGCTGGAACTCTGTAAACAAGAATCTTGTCTAGTTTAACTCACCATGGTATTCCCAATGGCTTCCATCAAGTAATTGATCAATGGAATGCTTGATAAAGGATTAATTCATAGCTATTCTTTGAACACAGGGAGATGATGGCTCTTTCATTCATTTTGTACAAAAAGTGCTAACAGCTTGGCCTACCACTTAAGCATTGCCATTAAGCCTTTTCTTTAAGGTCAAGGAACATAGGATCATTAAATAACATACTTTTGTCTTGTATATGAAAAGACTCTCTTCCTGGAGTCTGTTTCCTCACCTTATCCTGTGGCAATACTTTTATGGCCAATGAACAGTTTCTAGGCAAACTCTGCCTTTCTGGGATTTATTTGCTCTGCTGAAAAGAAAGGGTATCCTTTCTTTTCCAGGCACTAGGAAGGAGGTAGGACCCAGTAGACCCAGGCTCAGAATTGGGTTCAGGACTGGCTCTTTGTATTTTATCTTTTCCATAACTTCTGGCTGCTATTTGCTCATCAGCTTCCACACTGGCCTCATGTGACTCTGTGGAGGCAGTGGTTTTGAGGTTTGGAGAGTGGAAAGTTCCCCTAAAGCATGAATGAATAGGAGATGATGCATTCTGTTAGCCTCACTCTTACGTGGAGATGTTTTACCTACAACTTCAATGGTCTGAGTCATCATAATCTCCACCCTCCACATGTTCCTCTCCAACTTCCTCAGGCATCTTAGAACTCAAAGATGATCTGATCATCATCCACGGCTCCCTATCCACCCTTGGGATAAAGTCCAGACTTTACCCTGGACTCTAAGGTTTGGCATGATTCTATTCCTGCCTTTTTTCTAATTTCATTTCCCTATTCTTACTCCTTACCCTCTGTACTTTTGTCAATTTTCTCAGTTCTTCCAACTGCTTGATCAGAGCTGTTTACACAACCTTGGCTCTGTCTGGGGGTGATCTATTTCCCTATTGCTACTTCTCCTTTATCTCGTTAACTCTTACATGCCATTTCCTCAAGGAAGCATTCATTGACCCTAAGCTTGGGGTCAGGTCATCTGAAACACTCATCTATTGCACCTTCAGTTTCACATAGCACTGATAACATTGGAATTATTTGCTAAATCTGCCTTCCTGGCTAGATATAAATTTCTACTAGCTCATTCATGTGGTCATAAGTCCTCAGCAAATATTAGCTGCAATCATCATCATCACCATCATCAGCAGCATCATCACCATCATGCTACAGTACTTGGCACTTAGGAGATTCTTGGTACATACAGGGATAATAAGTGAATCGTCATTTTTGACATGAAATCCTTTTAGGCTTGATGCATTACAAATTTCATACTTTTATCCTATCTCTTTTTCTTTTCCCTTAAAGATTATTTCCCCCTTCTAATTGTTATCTTAATTCTTTCAAAGTGAGATATTCTTTTTTATTATCTGTGTGAGGTTCTAATGGAAAATAACAGCATACTACTCAGCAGTCACAGAATAATAGAATTGGAAAAGTGATCTAAGAAGCGATTGATGCAACCCAGTCGGCCAGCGTAGTCTGCCCTGTGTGTGATTCAGCCAGCTAGGGATGTCAGAAAGCCTGCATCAAGGAAGGAGGATAAAAGTATACAAAGAGCTAAAGCATTTGAGCTGTATTACAACCATCACCAGGAAGTCCCACAGAGAAAAGTATTCTTTAAAGTTTCAGCTGAACACTTTACCCGCTCTTCCAATTCTGTTTATATTTGCATCAACCTCTTTGAGCCTTGGGGAAATATCTAAGGTTAAACTATCTATTTGTATGTGAATTGTTCAGTATTAATGAAATGCTGAACTCTACCTAGAGCACATGAAGAACAATCAGACATGCATTTCCCAGAAAGCAGGGAAGAAGCTCAAAACAAATGGAAATAAACTTAGGAAAGAAACCACTATG